TTAGATACGTTTGAATTTTTACAATATTCTAGGGAAAAGATAAGACTATTAAAGTAGAGGTTTTGAGGCTTTAAAATCAAAAATTGCTTTAAAATCAAACCAATGATTGCTAGAAAGTGGATAAAATAAAATAATTCCAATGAAACAATTAATACATCGTAGGTAAATAAATTGACATGCTACAGTATAAATCATAATTGTAGTATACATGTGAATAAAAATCTTAAACTTTTGTAAAAACTTTAACATCTGTTTTGCTTCACGCCATCAAGGTTAATCCTGTTCGACATCGAACTAATAAATCGGCATCGCTAATTTATTCAGATAGCAGCAATAAGTCATGGTCGGAGCCAGTGTCGCATTAATGGAATTTTTAAGTGAATTTAAAAAAAAAAAAAAGATGTTAAATTAATGATGTTCAACGTATTAAGGAAGACTGAGATTTTAAATATTATTATATTAAAAAGATGTTATAAGATTATTACATTAAGTAATGAGTTGCAAAATTGAATGTACTTGAAAGAACAATCTCAACACTGATATTCGAAATAAAATTTTCTCGTTTAGTTCCATGTGCAGCAACATTGCAAATACAGATTGTCGTTGAATATCTATGTTTATAAAATTCTTTCGTAAGAAAGAAAGAAGGTAAAAATGAAATGTCTTAACGTTGAGTACTGTTCAGCATTGTCTCAAGATAAAATTTTTACGGATTTACAAGTACAACCTGTTACCACGACCTTATAATATATACTTGCAGAACAATTGGAAGATGCATGAATGAGACAGCAAATGCATTGTGCAGACGACATCAGGAAACATTGTTATAACGTTACCTTGCACATACTGTGAGCCGTGAGTTTCAGACTGTGCTTCTAACTGTTAAATGTTCTTCAATATATTTCAAATAGAAATCCAAATCTAATTATATCAGCAATAATAACATGATTAGCTTGATAACTGTCTTAAGTTATATTTTAAATTACGATGAATCAATGCACGCTTGAGATTCATAAATTTTCTGTCCAAGTTTTGAAACACTTTATAACAACGAAATTTTTAGTGTAATAAAAATAAAATATACAACTGACTATGAGATGGCATATCAAACAAGGCAAAGTTCCGTACTTTGTGTAAGATCATTTATGTTTGCAGGCGAAGGAAATCAAGAAAGGAAATTTCATTTGCGCCAGGCACTATAAAAAGACGAACAAGGTTCTCCTTGAACGCTTTTCTAAATTCAGTCATTGCGAATGCTGTGTCTATTTCTTACGTACCAATTATTTCCAAAACGAAACTCATCTATCTCGTGTGCTTGTGACGACACACTTTTGCA